CTCCCCAAACCCCACCCCCTACCCCCAAATATAATCCACTCTGATGTTTTAAGGAGAGGTGAGCTGATATGAAACAAATCCCACTTTTCCAACATTTTCCACACAGGCCTGCTCTGTTGCCACCTCCTCTTCTCTTTATAGTTTATGCTGCATTCACTTTTTTAATGTAATTTTCATGAAGTTTTGGAAAGCAGAGACGTGGGTGTGTTCAGTCCATGATACTTAAAAGTTTATGTCCATGTGAAAGTGTTTCTATATTTATGTAGATTTATGCTCATGTCACTCATTGTATTTGTACAGGTATGTACATTTATTTCTATTTTTTTACTTGCATTGATAGCTTTGTTGTTTCTATTTGACATCACGCTTGTGGGCCTGATGTGTGCAGGTGGCCTTAGCGAACACCCTTCTCTGCAGCTTAGGAAGGGTTCCCACCAGACATCAACGTACTGCCTTTCTCTCATCACTTCTCTACTGATGCATTTCAGAAACACAGGCACTGCAGGTCTTTGAGTGACATACTGACTCCATGCCAATTTTCATCTTTATTGTTTTAATTCTACAGCATAACATGTCAGGGGGAAACATTTGATTTTTTTTTAAACCATCTGCCAGCAGCAAGGACCGAAAAGTCACAAAGCGAGGGCTCCAGGGCTTGGGAGAGAAAGTGGCCCTTGGAGGACTAGGCACATGAGGTGGGTGTGGGGGGCATGGAGGGTGGGATTATTAGACACTGACACACACACACACACACACACACACACACATTTCCTCTCTTCAGGGAAGGATTTTCCAGATGCATTTGCCAGCACTTTGAAAGAAGTATTTTTCATGCTAAATGGAACCTATTGAAGAGAAGTAAATTAATGGCTTAGGGGAGCCACGTGCTCTGGCTGGGGACTCAGCGAAGGCAGCTCTTCAGTGACTGAATTCATGGTATTCATCAGAATAGCTTCCAGCTCCACCAGCTGAAGAGAAGCCGATCAAATCCAGGGAGGCTATTGGAGGGAGGAATTCAAAGAGACTTAGCAAAGGGCCTGGTTTCAGTGGCAGTCCTGGGTCAGTCCTGCAGGAAGGGAGGGCATTGCTTGGTTACCCAGAGCTGATGAGGAGAAGGGTGGGCGCTTGCTCCAACATCACTTCTTGGGGCCAGGCTTAGCTTGGAAAGATCAGGGTTATTTTCCTTACTGCTGTTAATACAGCCCCCAGCCAGCTCCCCTCTGGAACAGTGCATATGGGGAGACCTCACAAGGTGGGCTAAAGTCCTTTCTAGACCCAACCCAAGACACAAGCAAGCTCTAAAGGCACACAAGGTGGACTGGAGACAGGGATAATGAAGGGTAATAAATAAGTCAGGGGCTGAATGGGGGCGTCGTGGAGTGATGGTACAGAAGGGATCCCCAGGAGAGAAAGGCACTGGGTGGGGGAAGTCGATTCAGCACCCCTAACACTGATTGTTTGAGTCAGAGGTCACCACCAACCTAACAGCTGACCAAGGGGACAAGGACTGAGGAAGAGGGATCTGCGAAGGCCGGGAAGGTCTGGCTCCAGCTCTCTCACAAAGTCTTCCACAGGAAAGTCAGCTCTGGGCACCTGACACGCCTCCGCTCAGGGCAGGCTCAGGCGGCTCCTGAAGGCCACATCAGCAGCGAGGACTCGCCCAGGTGTGTCTTTCGCCTTTTGGGGGAGAGAAGAAAAAGGCCACCACAGAGTGAGCAGAGAGCAGCCACCGTGCCCTCCTGGCAGATTCCTTCCTCAGCGACAGACTAGCCCAGGGACACATTAGCATTTAGAAGCATTTGGTTTGTGGAGCGCTGAGGTCTATAGTGGAGCGCTGAGGTTTATAGTGGAGCAGGCTTTACACCATTTCTTGACGATTCTTGATGTGGGTTCAGATGCCATTTGAGTGCTTTCAGACCAGTCAAAGAGCCATGTGGCTTTGCCCTCAGGGACAGGGCAGTTGAAAGTGGATTGCCACCTGCTAGGTGGTCAAGGAGGGGCAATGTGCTCTCAGGATGTGCATGGAGAACCTGGAATGCTCCTGGGCGTGTCCTTAACGATTTCTAAGAGTCATGGTTCTGACCACGTAGCCAGCATCCCAGCACCAATCCTGTGAACTTTCTTAATCTGAAATTGTGTTAAGTACTCTAATCATGGTCATCGTCCCACGTCTGTAGTCCTGCCTACAACAGTGACAGATTGCAACCCAAACCAGTTGGGACCTAGTGGTGATTTCTGTCTCTGAATTATATAAAGGAAAGCCATGGCCATAATTTGTCAGAATGTCTTTGGCACCGTGCTGATGGCGTTCCTCATTCCAGTATGGCTTCTCTTTACCCTCGCCTTAGTAAGAGAGTCTCCACAGAATATGTTTGAATCTGGAATGTCTTTTTCTCCCCAGAACAGGGGACGGAATGGTGGCCTTCACAGATGGTGGCCTTCACAGATGGTGGACTCCTGTGGGAGCAGTCCCAGGCCCGTGACTGCTTCTGTCATCTGAGGCTAACTCTGGGGGCTGCCACCCTCGTGGGGGAGCTTTCCTCCAGGCCCAGCAGTGCCATGCTTTGCTCTGTGATCTCAAGCAAACCACCTGCTCCTGTACTGAGGTAATAACACAGGTGAGCTGAGAGTTCTGGAGGGAGCAAGTGGACATGAGAATATAAAATTTCCCTCTGGGTCAATCCAATCCTTTGCTTCCCAAGCCATGGAATTCCTTCTACCTACTATGTACGTGGCCTGTTTGTCACTGTACTCCTCCTGAGGGCTTAATAGTAGTGGGCATTCTATATGGATGCTGGGTTTTACTCCCTTACGTGTGTATATGTGAGAGATGATGCTGTCCCCACATTAGCTGTCATGGAACTGGATCAGAGGGATCAAATAGGAGGTTGAACCACATCAAATTTCTGAGTCTTGACCATCTTTTGACCTACAAAAATGCATCGTCATATGGTTCAACTTATTTGCCTCAAGGTCACAAGGCTATCATGACAGGGATGGGGCTCGAACTCAGTCAGTCCTGCCTGATTCCTAAGCTGTCCTTCGCGCAGGACCTTAGCCTGTAGGAGGGAGGGCGAAAGGGCCCACCTCAAGCTTACACACAGGGATGAGGGTTCTGTCTCCCAGGATGCCTGTGGCCACACAGAAGGTGTGTTTTCCAGGACTATCCCATGCACCTGCGTGTGAGCTTTCTTCACATGGTTTGCCAAGTGAGGCAGAGCAGGGTGTCACTGTCCCTGAAGGCCACGCTCCTCCTCCTTTGGCCTGGGGACAGCTGCCATGCTGACCCACGTATGCTTCTTTAGCTGACCCCCTGGCGGGAACAAGGCAGTCCTGATGAGGTGTGCTTTCTCACAGGCAACTGAGGTGGACTGTGGTTCCACCCAGCACTCAACAATCTGCTCATGACTGAGTGTGAGAAGCCCCCAGCTTGGATTCTGCATGCGGTGACTGTGGGCTGGGTAGGAATCCTGACATCTTGCCCTTCTACCGTGTCTCAGTCTCCACACCTATCGCTTGATAGTGCTCTTAACATTCAAATTCTATGACGTCATGAGCATGGGGAAATGCTTTGTCAGATGACATGCTTCAGACAGCTCAGGAGGTAACATCCCCTGTTGTAATGGGCCCATCAGGGTTATTCTGGGATTCTCTGGGCTCGCTGCAGGCAGGCAGGCGGTTCCACCAGCACCTGGCACCGCATGCAGGGAACGTGGAGAATTGGAAAAGCTACCTGCCCCAGCCCAGTTTTGGGGGTTGAGTGAGAGAAGTGTGGGAAGGAGCTGTAGAAGAGGGAGAGGAGAGGTTACGAGGAGAAGCGTGGTACTCACCCACACCCTTGCGGTCAGGCCGGGGAGGGGTGCCCCCCTGTGGGCTGGCCAGGCTGCTCTGGCTCCCCGAGAGGTGGCTGAGTGGGTGGGCCAGCTCCATCCTGGGGGACCCTGTGTTGCCACCTGCAGGAGACACACATGGACCCAAGGGCTCAGTTCTGGTTCTGTGGACCTCGAGCTGAGACGGGGCTGATAGAGGACTGGTGCAGTACTTGAGCTCATCTAAAGGAACCCCCATTTGGGATGTCGTGGGTATGTCCATGGGCTGTTTGCCCAGCATCCCCTACCCTGGGGACTGTCACTTCACCTCCCACCCACATGGCTTTCATGTTCTCACCTGGCCCCACCCTCTGGCCACTGCTGATGGGTCCAAGACATATATAATCCAGCAGAATGAGGGCCTTTGGGTCATTTCTCTAAGAGCCAACCATCAATACGACAACTGGAAGTTCTTTTTCTTGCTTTCCCAAGAGAGCATATCTGAAGAATACACATGGAGTGTATGAAGAGTGGAGAGACATTAACTGCTGTTTTGCTAACTAAAGCCTCTTCATTCAAACAGGGCTGCGAGTCTGCATGTGACAGAGATGGCTGATGTGGGCTGGGTTCCTGCCCCGTCTTCTCTATCTCAGGTATGCTTGGTCACTGCTAAGAGCTGGCGCAGGGACAGAAGCTGTGCTGGGGTGGGGAGGAGGGTGAAACCCGCCCGGGACACCAAGATCGGCCGGCGAGGCTCCTTGAAACTTCCTTCACATAGATCACTCTTCTGAAGGGACGTAAGATGCCATCTAGTCCAGGGACAGTTTTCATCTCTTGTGTCATCCCCATATATCGATACTGATCATTGGCAGTGCAGGAAAAGTGCACTGAAGAGGATCCTGAGGCCAGAGATCATGGTCAGTTAGTAATGTCTGGCACGGGCACCAGAGCGGGGAGTGGTAGCAAGTGTGTCAGGCAGTTGTCGCCTCTGATGTACCAAACTCCCATCTCCATCAGGAATTCAGTCTACATCAACTGTGACTGGGGGCCATCCAGCCCCGCCTCAGGAAAGCCCCCTCAAGCCACTGCATTCCAATTTAGGACAGTTAGTTATTACAAAGCTGTTTCTCTTTTTCCCCTATAGGGAGCTCTGTAGCAGCTGTGCTGCTATCCCAAAGGTGATGCCTCTCTGGCAGTTTGCATCCACCAGTGGCCTCTCGGGAGAAAGGTGGGCAACCCCTTCCCGTGCGGTTCACAGCCTCTGGAAACCCGCTGGAAGGTCAGCTGTGAGTCCGTTCTGACTGGACGCATGGAGATGGACTTTTTCTTGTGCACTTAAATCAGCCTTTTTATAACCACTTTCAAATACCTCTAGGTCTAACCCTTATAGCAAATTTTGAATAAATCTGGGGTCATTTCCCCTGGGAAGACTCTATGTGTTTATAGAGAAGGAAAATGTGCGCCCAGGCCTTCTCTGCTCCACCCTCAATGCCCAGTTAACTCTCTTTCACATGCCTGGGTTGCGGAAGTGAGCTAGTGATGTGAACTTCAGAAGGACTTTGCAGACCACCTGCTCCACGCTTCTATGCTAAGAGAAGCAAGTGGGGGCCTGAGGCCAAGGCTTCTGTGTGGGATCCCACAACAGCTCGGCGGCAGAGTTTAGCTAATGTAGGTTGTTGATGTTACTGCTCTGTCCCATCAAGTCAGAACCCTCTCATAGCCGACCCTCCAGTGAGTAAATCACATGGAAGGAGACTACCCGTACTTCTCCCACCGAGCAGTTGCTGGACTTGAACAGCATGCTTTTGGGATTGCAGCACAGCTTCTTACCACTAGTTCACCAGAGCTCTTTAGCTGACCCAGGTAACTCAACATGTTGGGGGCAGCATCTCACAGGTGAGTCGGGAGGAATCCCAGGTGTGCAGGCAGTGGGGCCCAGAGGTCTGGCTGGCCCTGTCTCAGCCTTCCTGTCTTCCTGCCAGCTCCCTGCATATGAACCTCACTTTTTAGCTTCTAGAGGTCCCACCTGCAGGCCCACATCTCCTCCCTGACCTAGAAGGACTGCCCTGGGAGGAGCACCAAGGAGCAGCAAAGTCGCTGTGCCCCTGGACCCTCTAACATAAGCCGTGTACTCCCCCTCCCACACTCACCTGATTCCCCCCAGGACTTGTTGCCTTTTGAATCACTGGGACCAGTGGGTTGGAGTCTGTCATCCAGGCTCGAGGAGCTGAGATCTGAGTCACTGTCTGTGTCACTGGAAATCACTGTAAAAGACACCAACACGAGAGGTCATGCTCCCTGGCCACAGCCACCAGGCATCTTAAGACAGATGCACAGGCCTCTCTCTCTGGCACAACACAGCTCAGTTGGCCCTTTTGTTCTGTGCACAGGAGACAACCTGACTGAGGTGGAATAAGAACCTGCTGGAGCTCCAGCTCAGTTCTTTCAGCAGAATCAGGGGAGGCTCTGAGCTTGGGCTCTGGAGTGACTGCTGGGCTGGAATCCTGGCTCCTCCATTTCTGACCTCAGGCAAATGCCTCAGTTTCCATCTGTAAAGTGGGGATAATGATGACTTCTCCCTCACAGTGTTGTTCCAGTCAGTGAATTCCTGTGGAGACCTGGGACGGACAGGCTCCAGAGAGGTCAGCTATCACGAACATTTTTCAATGGTGCAGCTGCACAGCGTCGCGTTTTGCCTTTAGGACTTGCTACCTCAGAGCAGTGGTACCTGCACCACGGTGCTGGTCCCACCACACAAGTGGGTTCTGAGTCTGCCACAGGGCTGGGGTGACAAACGAGGAGGCTGGCCCAGGATGCCTCTTCCCTGTTGGTCTGGGTCATGAGTTCTAGCCTCCCTGCACAAAGAGCAATTCTTTGGCCCCACAGGGGATCACTATGTGCTGACATTTGTCATGATATGACCCACCTAGTATCCTTGTGGGACATGCTAGCAGAAGTTTCTGCTTTACCAGGCCATTCAGTGAAGGAGCTTGGAACTGGGTACAGTGGGATCTGGTTTGAATGGAGTGGGAGCCAGGGGTCCCTCCTGCTCTTTCATGGTTTCCTTCAGGGCCTAGATTGGTGCAGGACACTGGTGGGCCCCTAGTCCCTTCTGCATGAATGTTGTTAGGTACTGTCGAGTCAGAATCAACTCAGAGCTGACCCTCCAGTGGGTTTTCAGAGGCTGTAAATCTCACGAGAGGAGACTGGCATTTTTCTCCCCGTGAACAGCTGGGGGATTTGAACTGCCTGCCTTTGGGTTGGCTGTGCAGTCCTGTATCACTGAGCCACCAGAGCTCGTGTCTTCCTCAGCAGGGAGGCAGGAGGAGGGTGTGGGGGTGGCCCCTTTGGGACCAGGCCTCCTTCACCTCACCGGCACCTTAGCTGGGTGCTCACTGGCTGAGACGAGTGACTTCACGGTGGGAGGGGTTGCTGAATACTGCTCTTGCCTGTTGTGGGTCATCAGGGTGGGAGGAAGGGGTTGCTGCCAGCCTTGGAGTCCATGGTGACAAGGCACAGACTTCTCCGGGTCACAGTGCCCTTTAGTATCAGCAAGACGGGTGTGGGGGTTCCTGTGGGGGGCCGGAGTGGTGGGAAAGGGGAATGAGAGGGAGCTAGCATGCAGCTAACAGCCTTCTGGCTTAAGTGGGACTAGCGCTGGCTGGGGAATCACAGTTGCAGTTATAAAGCAGGATATACACATCCTTCAAATGTTCTACTTTTATTTTAAACGCATAAATACATACCACTAGCCAATCTTTTTTGATGCAGGGCTTGGGTGTTTCTTTGAGCTGGGGCCCACACACTGTTTCATATATAAACCACATCTCTGTAGGGTCGCTGGGAGTCAAAATTAACTTGGTGCCAGTGGGTTTGGTTTTTGGCTTGTATTGTCTTGTCTGTATTCCCAGGTTTATTCGCTTTAAATGAAAGCGACCTGAAGCAAAAGGAGCGCAGAAGCCTCTTCTGTCTCCCCATTGCTTCTTCCTTTCATAGTTGTCCTGCCCACACCCAATTCAATAGACTTGTAAGAGCAAGTTGCCTCGATCAAGACTTTTTTAGAAAAGACTTTATTATTTTTTAAAGCAGTTTCAGGTTAATAGAATGACGCAAAAGGTATAAAGAGTTCCCCCTCCGTACAGGTCTGTTATTAACATCTTGTATTGATGTGGTACCCTTGTCACACTTGATGAATCAATGCTGATCCATCATTATTAACAAAAGCCTGTTGTTTACATTAGGTTCACCCTGCGTATGGGGCAGCCCTGTGGGCTCTGAATGCTTAATGTCAGGGTAAGCATGGTCCCAGTGTCACATAGAGTAGGTGCACTGCTCTGTCCCTCCACCTACCCCAGCAACCACTGACCATTTCATTGCCTCTGCCACTCAGTCCTTGTAGAGTTGGGCCTGGCCCACAGCTGACTGCTGTTGGGTTTCCAAGGCTCTGTAAAAGGCACAGAAGGGAACTGCCCATCTTCCTCCTGCTGGTGGATTTGAACCAAGTGGCCTCTGGGTTAGCAGCACAACTGCCTATTGACCACACTCCCAGAGTGCCATCACTGTCTCATTGACTTTTCCAGAATGTCAGACAGTTAGGATTGTATAGTGGGCAGCTTAACTATATGCATTTAAGCGTCCTCCATGGCTTTCTATGGCTTGATTGTTCATTTCTTTAATTTGCTGAGTAACACTCCATTTATAGTTGGACCACTGTTCAATTATCTATGCACCTACTGAAGGATGTCTTGGTTGCTTCCAAGCATTGGTGATTATTAATAAGGCTGCTAGAAACACTGGCCTGCAGGTTTCAATGTGGACAAGTGCTATCAGTTTACTTGGACGAACACACGGGAGCTCTTTTCCTGACTGAACTGAATGGTGAGCCCATACACTAAACTCCCTGAGAAACCACTGGACCACGTTTCAGAGTGGCTGTGCCATTTTATCAAGACGTTCAAAAAGTCTGAGCTTTAATGAAATAGTGCTTTCCTTACTGTGCATCAGTTTATACAATATTTAACTAAATTATGTAGCTATATAAGAAGTACAATCGCACAAGGGCAGTCATCTTTCATAGATGCACAGCTCTGCAGACACAGGAGTTTATAGGAGCCAGAGGCCACGGGGTCAGGAAAGAAAAAGCAGTGGTTATGAGGGAAGGGTAGGAGCGTCTGGTGGAGCTGGTCATGCTGGCCATTGTGCTAGGTGCCATATGTACTACGGTTTCATGCTGTAAGAGACAGGATTAGGAAAATACCAGTCCAGACCAGGGGTGGCTAACAGGTTTCATTGGATCCACCAAGTCCTTCTGGGGCAACATGTTGAAAAGGCTCCTGCATCAAAGCTCAGCAGCAGGTCAGTTAGGGACAGGAGCTATGAGGAACATGAGGGGAGAATGGTGGATGAGTGGTAAGGAGTTGAACTGCCAACTCAGAGGTACATGGTTCAAATTCACCAGTTGCTCCCTGGGGAGAAAAAAAGGGGCTATCAACTCCTGTGCAATTTACTGGAGGGTCAGCTATGAGTTGGTTTAAACTTGATAGTGCATAACAACAACAACAAGCCATGTTTCTCCATGCAGATCTAGAACCTTCTGGAAGGCTTTCATGTCTTTAGCCTGTGCCATCTTTCAGCTGTGGAGGCTCTGAGAACCAAGCACGACCGGGCATCTCAGCTGTGAGAGATTCTGCCTGTGCTTCAGAGCTGAGCTGCATGGCCGCCCGCCCGTGCTCCTCGCTTCCTGGAGAGGCTCCTCTCAGCCCCCAGCTCTCCAATCCCCACGTCCTGCCAACTTGCTCTCCTAAGTGGCTGCCGGATCAGTTGCCTTCTCACTATCATCACGGCCCCTGCTTAATTCCAGCCCATCTCCTCTCTGTGGACTCCATGGCAACTTCCCACCGGGGTCCCTCCACACAGCCAAAGGACCCTCCAGAGAAAACACAAGTCCCAACTTAAGGCTCCTTAATGGCTTCCCATCACCCCACAAGCAGCGCAAGGCCCTGCTCCTCTCCTTTGCCTATTTCTCACATCACCCGCTGCTCCAACTCCAAAAAAAGCTGTGTATTGTTATCGTGGTCAGGGGGTATCAGGTCAATTTTGACTCGAGGTGACCCCACGTGACAGAGCAGAATTGCCCGGCAGGGTTTCCTAGGCGCTTAAGAGGAGCAAATTGTTGAGTCTTTCCCCCTAAGAGTCACCAGGTAGGTTTGATCTGTCAATCTTTTGGCTAGCAGACATGTTCTTAAGCACTGTTGTCACCAAGGCTCCTTAAAAGGAATGGAATTCTCACCAAACCTCACCATTCACCGCCTTGCCTCGTGCCTGGCTCCAGGCTGCCTTCTCCTGGCTTGGTTAGGCCTCCTCTTCTCCAGGGAGCCTTCTCCACCCCTTGGCTCCTGAACACCCTGTGCATACAGCTACAACCACACCAACCACTTCTGCCTGGGACTTGTGCATCTGTTTCCCCCACTAGATTAGGATGCTCCCTGAGGGCAGGGATAGACGAGGCTAGTGTGAGTTTTTACCCCAAATTTACCCTATGGTTCTGCGGGAGAAAGACCTGAAGGTCTGGTCCCATAAAAACTTCAACTTAGAAAACCCCACAGGGCAGTTCTGCTCTGTAACATGGGATCTTGGAGTGTACTCAGGGAGACCCGGGAAAACAAAGCTTAATCAGTGAGCTGGATAGGGAACGCTCTTCTTAATGTTGTCCTTCTCATCCTACCCCGTGCTGATCCAGCTCACTGATAACGCTAATCCCTATGCACATCCAAAACCTTCTCTAACAGGGCAAAAAGAAAGCCACAGACTGGGGACAAAAACTTCGGTAATGACATGTCTGATAAGGGATTTTTATCTAGAATTTATGGAATACTCGAGCACCATAACAAGATAAAGGTAGACAACCCAATAGAAAAACGGGCACAGGATATGAACAGACACTTCACCAAAGAAGACATTCAGATGGTGAACAAACCCATGAAGAAATGTTCAAAATCCCTAGCTCTAAGAGAGATGTAAATAAAAACAACTCTGAAATATCATCTCACCCCAGTAACAGTAGCAAAATTAAACAGAACAGCAAATAAATGTTGGTGAGGTTGTGGAGAAACTGGAACCCTTATTCACTGTTGGTGGGAGTGTAAAATGGTGCAACCACTGTGGAGGGCAGTATGGCACTTTCTCAAAAAGTAAAAAATAAAATACTATTTGACCCGGCAATTCCACTACTGGGAATATACCCTAAAGAAACCAGAACTGCCAC